CTGACGCGTCTGCCTCCGCGACCCGAAAGGAGAAGCGGCGATGGAAGATGAAGATGAAGATGAAGATATATATATATATATACGGAACGAATTTTGAGGTACGAGGAACAATGGCGCAGATGGTAGTTGTTTTGCAGTTTTGCATAAGTGCGGGATGAAGCGCCGTTAATCGCCAATTCTCTTGTACAAGGAATTTATCCCATGCAATTCAGCGAGGTACGTTAGTGTGATCATGCCAAATCGTGCCAGACTAACAGCCATGTTGCAAGAAGCATGCGCTTTAAGGTTGCAATTTGTTTTCACCCCTCCGATGGCTGACTGAAAGTCAGCAGAAGGTGCAAATTTAAATTCAAATTTAATCTAAAGTTAAATGACTTTCTTTCTTGTTACACTACGGCAATAACGGTATACTGTAATAGAAATATTTATGACACTTCGTCATAAATTCAGCACTTTTACAGCTGTGCACTGCGGATTCACTTTACACGGTGAGGATTGTTCATATTTACTTGAGTACATTTCAGACAGCTGTAACGAGGCTTCTGGTTTAAGCGACTGTTCGTCACTCACTCATTGAACGTCGCGTTTGCTGACTGTATTCTGAGTTGTGGTAATGGCGGATAAGGGACTGAAGAAATGTTATGTTTGCTGCCAGTGGATCCCGGCGGATGTTGCGGTATTGGCCGTCAGAAGATACATGTGTCCGCAGCATCTGACGTGCAACCGTTGCAACATCGTGCTGCCGAATGACGTCTGGACAATTGGTCCGAGTCCTTTCTGTCAAGAGTGCTATCAGGTTCTGCGGCAAAAAATCACTTGTGTCAGTTGCAAGGCGACCATCGAAAAAAAGGCCTTTCACGAACTGGGTGGCTTCTGGCACAAAAGCTGCTTCGTTTGCCAGATCTGCAGAAAGGGCTTTCCGAACAACAAGTATTACCCGGTCATGAACAAGCCGTACTGTAGCCAACACGCCAAGGAGCTCATGCGGGAATCGTCGAAACAGCAAAAGCCTTCTAACGATTTCTTTGTTTGATAACGAAAAAATTATACCGCAAAGAAGAATGTTCCGTTTTACTGTGATCCACCTACTAGCTGGTCCTTGAGGTACAGTTCTTGATCATTGTCTTTATCATGTTATTTTGTCAGAAACGAAACCAGCTGTAATTTCAGTGCTAAGATGTTCTCCTCTCAGTGACGCTCCTTGTTTCAGTGGCATTACATTTTTTGTCGATGATGGAAAAGATGAGAAAGCAGAGATGATTGGCAGGTGCTGCTGTCCTCAACCGCGAATGATAGCCGAGCAATCTGATCATTCACGCTCAGAGTTACAATTATGAGGAAGCTATGTTTTCATGTTGCTCCTCACATAAGGTCTGTCGATAGCATGAAACGCATACTACGCTAGCCCAGTCTAGCCGCACCAGGCCGTTTCGTGTCTCCAGGCTGCTAAAACGATATGCTGAGTTTATTCTGAAAAATTTCTAACAAACTGCTTGTGCTTGTAGATCATCAAAATCGCACAGTCAACTTTCAGGATAGGGCTCTATCCGTATCATGCATGAACCATGCCGTTGTGTTCCCTTTTCGAACTTATTCCCCTAGTCTGCAATTGGCACAGGCGTTTTAGTAAAAAAGTCGCTTTGTATTCTTCAATATTTCTTTATCCAAACGGATTAGGTACTTCTGTATTCACAGAAAGGACAGCTTGAATTTTCACTCTGCCATTTTTTAGCCATAAATGCAAATGACCAATCCAAACGTTCCCCAAGTTCAAGGTCAGCTTGATGTCCTTACTCCACTAGTTCCTACGCGTTGAATTTAGAAAATCCATCATGTTCTGACTTTCTAGCTGATCTCGGGTGGGAAACAAGTTTTTCACAGTTAAATAGTGATCACCATTTTGGAGGGCCTTGTGCACTTTGTTTACAAATGCTACGAAACTCAGTTGTCGTTTCCAGTTCTCCGTCAGATGAACTACCAGCTCGATGTACGGGAAGTTACCACCATGTCGCTGAATCTACTTTGTCCTGCAAGCGAGTCTCTGCTACCCACAAATTTTTGCATTTTTTCCTGAATATTTATGATGTATGTTTAGTTAATTTATCAACCTATGCGTTGACTCATTCAACATTAGAATAACGTTAGGGTATACACAGTGTTTGTAGTGGTGGTCGTGTTTCCGTCTTGGCCATGGTAGTTGAACACGTGAAGCAGTAACATCTGTGCTTAGCGGCCAGAGGGCAACGATGACCCAACGGCATGTTCAATTACAGTAAATGTATACGTATTGCCGTGCAGGTCGGTTACTGATGTTGGTATTGATACAGGGTTATTGGTGCCGGTGTGACGGTTATCCATGCGTTTTACCGCGTTATCGTCGAAACTAGAGCCTCATCTCCATGAGGTACTGTCTGCTGTAGGCTTAGAGACTCCAAGTGTTGTGCGGCATGGAGGCGTCGTTCTAAAGAACGACAAAATGCGGAATGACTCTGCTTTCTTTCAGACACAGGGGATGTCAGTAGTTGTGGAGATCAAGAAAAGGAGCTTGATCCTGGTAGGCAAACTTAGTGAACAGAAACTATTTTTTTACCGGAAATTACTGCATTGAAATATTTTTCACTTTGCATGTACCTTCTACGGAGAATGTAGACAAGATACGGACAGAGGATGTTTGTAATTGTGCTAACTGGATGGCATGAAACAAATCTGCCTAGTATCACCGCCTGTGCTGTAAATTATGACATCCGATGAGATTTATCATTATCTGGTTTGGGGAAGAGTACATGCGCTTTCTTGTAGGTGTTATTTCCTGTTTTTTGGGTAGAAGACATGATGCTTCCTCACAGGAGTTTCAGGGGTACACCTTGCCTAACCCAGGTCGTTTCAGTTGAGTGCTTTCGAGAGAATTAAATACTTTTTCATCTCGGCTGCAACTGCTTCATTAGCCAATTAGTCAGTTTTAGTTCCAGGCAGTTCATGAAGGTTCTCACAGAGGCTACATGGATAGACCTTGCATTTGTCTCTGAGGCTCTATGTAGCAACAGTAGAAAAAAGAAGATGCGGATACACCTTATCAATCATCTGTCGATGACGACGCATTTGTACAACTGGCATTATTTCCTGGTAAAAAGTTCCACAAATCTTGCTCTTCCTTAAAACGAGATGTGGCCCTCGAATATAATTTCTTTTCGTTTGTTCGTTTCGATGCATCATTCTGCGTTACAGACAGATTTGGCCATTTGCTGACGTGTTGCTCAAGTTTGCTGCTCAAGTTCCAACACAAAAGATACCGTCTTTGAACAAAATGGTAGCAACGGAAAAATTTAGTGGGGTGGGCGGGAATACATTGGGAGAAGCAGAGAGGACCAGGCTTGATTACAAGTTCCTAACAGCAATCGATGCCCATTGTTCGAGCAGGGAAGTTTCTGCTCGAAAGCTTCTGGGTTGCGGAGGCAGTGCTTAGTGTTGAGGAGCACGGAACTTCGGTAGGTCGAATTTTGCCACAGATTCCACTGTCGATTGCAGCCTATGCTGGAACAGCAGCTGTTAGACTGTTGTGTGTATGGCATGAGGCGGAACGTCCTCGAGACTCATGCCAGCCTTGGAACTTCGTTAAAACTCAGTCTGCAACTCAGCGAACGCATCACATGGATACAGGTGCTAAGGCCTTTGGTAAGGAGGCCTCCGATGGACGCGAAGTGGAATGATACAAGAGACGACCACCGCTGAGGGGTTTTCACAACCAAATGTTTTGCACCACGGAATATGCCGTTGCCCACTGTTCAGACGCGATTTGTTTCAGTACTTTATATGGCTTGGACCGTTTCGAGTGACCTTCTGGCA